TTACTCACATACACTTTAGGCCATCCAAAACAATGCAGGCCTAACTGCCTGCCTGCTCAGTGTAATAAGCAAACTTTTTCATCCATAGTTGTCTGTCTAAACCCTAATTTCAACCAAAAGCACTGGTTCTTGCTGTCATCTGGATCAATGGCCCTGCTTATTATGGGAGTATGATTCTCCCAACAGATACGTTTTTATTTTGCCTATGCACACAATAGCAGCTTCATTTATTTAATATCTTATTTTTCTTAAAAGAGGATGTTATTTAGGGATGCACAAACCTTTCTATCTTGTACTACAAGTCATATCATAACCACACACACACAATCTCTGTTATAGAGAACTAACTCAGTGTTCAGGATGTTGCTTGTTCATCTGTATCAGAATTCTTCTAATTGGTTCACAAAAGCTTAATAATAGGTATATATGTACATGAAAATGAGCTTCTGTAAATATTCTCAGTATCTATAATTTAGCCTGAATAATCTTTTCATCATGGTCCTGATTTTGCCACCACCAACAGGAATCTCCACAGCTCAGAGGAATTCCCTTCCATCCCCCAGAAGGATCTTCAGGGCCCAGCAAAGTGTCATCTCCCTTGGACACTGAGCTGAACTCTTAGGTTGAATTAGCTAAATGTATGCACTATGAAAAGTGTAAGCTTAGTTCAAAACAAGTCATTGTTTTGTCAGCCTGGAATTCCCAGCAGTTAGAAAAAATATTTTTGGAAATGCTGGCTGGGAAGTTTTGCAAGGTTTCTCAAACCTCAGGAATTCCCACATGCAGTAAGAGAATAGTAATAGCTGACCTGTTTTGTGGAACTCTGAAATATGGTTGAATGCACAACTAGACATGACAATAGAAGGTTTATAATTTGAACTCCTACTCTTTTAAAAGGGTTTAATAGCAACTGTGGGAGGGAAATGGAATCTTTAGGGGCCCATGGAATTCAGGAACTGGAATCAATTATTCTCCTGCTCCCCATACTGTTTTCCTAATGAAATCTTTATAACTGATATTAATTTTTGAGACTACCATATCTGTACATGTTCTGATAAGATTGTGACTTCAGGGATAACTTGATATTATCCCTGGCAATTCCCTAACAGAACGTGCATTGGGTGCATAACGATG